TCCAAGATGTAGTTCAAATAAAGATGAGTACTCCAGAGATCTCTAAAAAGGCAGTATGGAGTAAAGTAGGACAAGAGAGGAGCTTGCTAAACCCAACCTCACTGTATCCTTTTCTTTGTTTTCTTTGCAAGTTGCTTGCTGCTTTGTATCTTCTTTTATTAAATTCTAAAATTAAGGTATATAGGCTGTGTGATCCTTAATTCCTTTAGCTGAAATAGTATATTAATCATTGTACCCAGTTTTTATGGGTACTCTAACATTTCTTGGCATCTATCATGTTAGACTTTTATATTTCTATAATGGAGAGGAAGTAACACTTCTCTGGGAACTTGGTGGATGAGGAGTAAACATCCTTTCCTCTCTCTCCCTCGATGAAGTACTTCTTTACAAGTGAGAGTTGTTCTTTTTGTCCTGTGAGTCTGATTGCTATTCATACTTCATTATTTTTCTTCACTTGTGAGTTTGTTTAAATGTAGTAAATTGAAAATATCAATTTATGTTTTAGTGTAAAGATGAGAATGTCTTTATTTCATAAAGTAAAAGGAATTGTATATATCAAATGCATATTAACATAAAATTTCTAGCTGGTACTTTCATTAGAATCTAGGAATGTGTCATCCTTATGCCAGAATTGTATTGACTCAAAATAATCTAATTAAAAAGCAGATAATCCTGTAGCGTATGAGATGTCATTATAAACGTTTTAAAGATTAAGTTCCTTTGGGTTTCTTTCCTTTCGTAATTGTATTATCATTAATTGAGGTAACATTCATATATAACACCAAATATAAATCTGAAGTTTAAGTTCACATTTGTTTAGATGTTTGTTACAACACCCACCATTAAGGCACATAGAATCCTCCATCATCGTTTGTTGAATCCCCTCCTCAATACCACTCTCTCCTTCCCTAGCCTCAGTTCTGCAGTCAGATTTCTAGGGTTTGTTTTGGTTTGGTTTTATCTGTCCTTTGTTTTCTGTTTCAGTATTTTACATATGAGTGAAATCATCTGGTATTTGTCTTTCTCTTTTTCACTTATTTTGCCTAGCATAATCTACCACCCCCTACCACCCTGTTCTATCCCTGTTGGTCACAAATGGCAAGTTTCATCTTTTACTTTTTTTTTTTTATAATATATAAGTCTCTGAGTACTGTTCCATTTGTACATATGCCGTATGTTCTTTTGGTGTTGTTAAATACTTGTTTTTACTTATATATGCATACAAGAGCTGGGGTACAGGTCAGAGATGCAGGAGGAGGGGCAGGGTGAGAGGATTCATCAGAGACAGACTGGGGAGCAGAACAGGCAGATTGACTGAGTACACTGCTGAGAGGAGCAGAGGACGGGACAGGAGAGTTGCCATGCCATGTGGATCATCTCTGGGGCAGGGGATTGAACCTGGCACGGAAGTGTCTGCAGCTAACTTACTGTGCTACATCCTACCTAACCTGTTGAGCTACTAGGGAGGGCCCACACTTTCCTAGAATTCTGACCTTTTTCTTTCCATAAGTTGTTTTAAAGCCCTACTTGTAAGCTTCCTAAGGAAGTCTGTTCACAGCACAGTACTTTGTATATACTTATTGATTTAAATATTATTGAACTGGCAATAATATATAGCAATAATTGCTAATTATAATTTCTAATTATTTTCTTAATTTTTATTTATAGAATTAAAATTATTGACTCAAAAGTGACCACTTTTTAAGCTTCTTGTTACACAATTTTTATGAGGTTTATGGCTTATGACTTTTAGCTGGATTACTACTAACATGATTAGAAACATCTTTGACAATTTAGCAGTTAAAAATGTTATGTTCTGGGCCCTTCCTGGTAGTGCAGCAGGTTAAAGCACAGCACTAAGAAGTAAACGCCACTTCCACATGAGTTCAATCCCCGCCCAGGAGGTGATCCACATGGCGAGGCAGACCTTTCCTGACCCACCCGCTGCTCCCCTCAGCAGTGTACTTCATCAGTCAGCCTGTTCTGCACTCCACTGTGTCTCTGGTGAATCCTCTCACTGCCCCTGCATTTCTGGCCTGTACCCAGTTCTGTATGCATAAATAAGTAAATCTTAAAAAAAAAAATGTTATGTTCTCTTCCATCATAGTACAATTTTTCTTTCATGAAAATTAATGTATACATGTTTAGTGAACAATAAAATGATATGTGTAACGTGGACTCCAAATTTGTTCATCTGTAATTTTTCCCAGAATGTGGATATTGGAGTAATTTCTTGTGGTAATCCTGGAAAAAGCCCTTTTAAAAGAGCATAAAGAACGAAGTGTAGGTTAGTTTGACTAGAATTGTATGGCTAGGCTTCTGATTTTAGTGACTGGAAGCTACTAATGATGGAATTTTTTTCTTAATGTGTAGATGATTGGTAGAGGATCCTGAACAATGTTAGTTTAAATTTAGGCCTAGAATTAGTTTCTTTATTGTTTAATCTCCTTACTTTCTGAGCAATTAGTGAATTTGAAAGTGGGTTTTTTAGTAGAGATTGGGCTTAACTTTGTTTTATTTTGAAAAAATGAGAAAACATATCTGGGGTGAGGCATGAAATTTTATAGAGTAGAAAAGGGTTGTGCATAGTGAATGAAGGTGTTAAGTTGTAAACATAAATTAATGTATGTTGCCTCTGTGGACAACTACTGCCTATGGCAAAATCTGTTGAGACAGCAATTTTTACTGGTTTAAATAGATGTTTTTCTGCAACTAATACTTATTTTACCTATGTCGACTATTATTTCATTAACTAGTAATAATGCTAGGCATGTGATTTTTAAAAATTTCTTTTTAGAGTAGAGGCATATTTAGATAACTCATTGCAACTGTTCCAAATGTAGAAAATTATATTTTTCAAGCTGTCACATTTTATTGCTATAAAAAGTAATAATAGAAAATGTAACTTTCTCTTTTAATAGAATGTGTCTGTTTATCTTAAATTATTGATGATATAGTTCATATCTCCTCCTTTCCAAAAGATATTAGAGGCATGGCACAGCAAAAGATAGGAATAATGATATGACAGTTAAAAATTCATACCTGTGAAAAGAAAGAAGAAGCAAATGTGCTTTTCACATATGATTCACTTCTGATTCCAAGTAGTATAGTTGCTATGATTATCAATTTTATCTTTGGCCATACTGAAGTGTGAATTCTCTTTATCAGAAAAATGAAAGGAGAGACAAATTTCCTGAGTTTTAAAACAATATTAAATAATGTAATGGACAAATCACTTTTAAAAATAAGAAAAAAAAAGAGGATTATTCTGCTAGGAATGATCTCTACCCTCAAATTGCTCATATTTTTTTGAAGGATAATTGTATAAATATAATACTATCAGTGCACACAGAAGGATATTTTATCTAAATTCCAAGAGAGGACATAGGCACAAAACAAAGTAAAAGTTAACTGAGCAAAATGGGACTACAAAGTGATAGTTGAAGAAGAAGGAAAGCTATTACATCCTGAAGTATATGTAGGCATAGGAGCTGAGCCAGATTGTATTCTGCAGTAATTTTTTTTGTAATTTGATATGATTGGAATTTAACAAATTGAAAGAAAAGGGAGTTGAAGTAGGCAAGGACCTTCAAAGACCTTCAAAAGTTTCAAATACAGAAACTGTTTTCCTATACAGGTTGTTTTTTTAACAGCCTTTAAATCTTGGTACAACGGTTCTCAAGCTGTGAAGCAAGATTCTCTGGGGTTCATCAGTAAGTTCTACAGGATGCTACAATATACTTTAATAATAACTGGATATTAAATAATGTAATAAAAGTGTACTTTCATTTTGTGAAATTTAAATAGCTACTAAATTACTATAAGTATGTTCTATGTAATATGTTGATAATATATGTGAGTATTGTTCCAGTTATTCAAACCGTGCTACTTAATAAATGAAATGTTTCTGTATGCCTATTGGGGCATAGGAAAAAATTAACTGAAACACTAAGGTCACTATAAACCAAGAAATTTAGAAAACCTCTGCTTACTATATGTACACATAGTACTATAGTACTTATTAAAACAATTCATGTGATGTTTCTTTTTTTCTATAAGGATAGAAATAAAAATATGTGGAGTAATATTAATTTTAACTTTCCTCTAAGCATTGTTTGCCTCATTTTACTTTATCTGAAGCTAGACAGAGGGAATTTGGTTTTTTTTTTTTTTTAATAATTATGATATATTAGTGTTATAACTAGCCACCATGGAGGTCCTGTTTTTTTATTTTACGATGAATAGCTGGGTATTGTGTATTATCTTAGCTCTATCAGTAGGTGATAACTTGGGCATATTTTCTAGTGAGTTACGCAAATTATTGAGATAGTTAACTGGAAATTAACTTGTTAACTAGAACTTAAATGTTTTGAATACAACCTTTCCGAATGTAATCCATTTGATTCATTAAGTAAAAGTAGTCATAAAGATAGTACTATATTATCACTAACATTGCCAGTATTAAAGTGGTTTCTTACAGAAGATAAATAACTTATCTATAGTATTTAATAATACTTTCACTTAATAAGTGACTCCAGTGGGCTAAGAATTATATTTGGAACACATAGGATACTTTGAATTATTACTATTGTATAATATATGTAAAACCTTCTCACACATCTATAAAATACTAGTGCTGTTACTTAGGTTTTATAAATAATGAAACTATTGAAAGGTTAAGTAACTTGTCCAAAATTCTTAGTGTAGATATTGGGAACTCATTTGGGTGGATGGTATATCAAAAATCACTTGCCTGAATACAGCCCAAAGTATTTTTTGTGTGCAGGTGTTTATTTTGATACAGATTTATTTGTCAAGTTATGCTAATGAGTGAGCATTTTTAGAAGTTATGATTTATAATGGATGTAAGAAGTGGTAAGTAGTAGTCAATTGCTTATTAAGGAAAGAATGTACTTAAAATCACTTTATCTACAGCTTTATTTTCTATTCTGGGCATTCTACTGAGCAACTTTTTTTTTTCTCTCTTTAGGGAGATTCCCGAAGTGTTTCATTTTCTGAGAATGTGAGTGCTGTTCAAAAACTAGACTTTTCAGATACAATGGTGCAACAAAAATTGGATGATATCAGGGATCGAATCAAGAGAGAAATAAGGAAAGAGCTGAAAATCAAAGAAGGAGCTGAAAATCTTAGGAAAGTTACAACAGATAAAAAAAATTTGGCTTATGTGGACAACATTTTGAAAAAATCGAATAAAAAATTGGAAGAATTACATCACAAGCTACAGGAATTAAATGCACATATTGTTGTATCAGACCCAGAAGATGTTACAGGTATATATGTATTTTATTTCATATTCATACTGTATGTTGATAAGAAATATATCAGTTATTAAAATAAACTTTTTCACTTAATAGTTTTTAGCTTTTCTGAAGGTATAGGGACTGTATTTTTCCTTAATCTTGAGTCTTGGTGATAGTTTATTGAGAAGAACAGTGAGTTAATGGATATGAAAATTGAAATATTTACTTAGAAATGAATAATTCTGTGTCATGTAATTATTCAAATCTGTGACCTTTATTCTTAGTGTACTAAGCAACTGAATTAACAACTAAACTACAAGGTATATTGTCTTAAAAAGACAAAAATTTTAAAAACCAAACATTACTTTTCCCTTTCTTAAATATATATAGAAAATAAAAGGAAAGTATAATGCATAAGTCCAAACTAAGAATAATTTTTAAATAGTAAAATATCACAAATGTCTGCATTGGAAATTTTCAGTGGTATAGAAAACTACTCTTGTCCATCCTAAGCCCTCTCCGTAAAGTTAGCATTACTAACTTTTTGATGTATCCTTCTAGGAAAAACTTCAATATTTGTGCCAATATCTATCTGTCTACATAAACATTACCTCTAAAAGTTTTCATTTAAAACATTATATATAAAATTCATATGAAAGAATAGTTTAGTCTGTGCAAAGATGTTATTTTGTGCAAGATATTTAATCAGTAACTCAATTTCTGTACTCGTTACTCAGTTTCTTTGTCTGCAAAGAGTAATATACATATAAAGTAATACACATATAGAGTATGTAGCATCATAGAAATTGTAGAAAAACCTGTTCACTTATAATGCAAGAAAACAAATATAAGTAATATTAAATTTGATTAAGAAATTCATAAATTTAGGAACCTTAAATTACCAGCCTTAGCATGCATAGAAATCTTCTGATGTTTAGTGTGCTTCATAGAACTTACTTTTTAATATATCACTTTCAATATCTGGGACTTACAGGATTGCATTTTATGTAGACTTCAATCTGTAACAATAATTGAATTTTTAAAATGCAAGGAACCATTTTCTTATTTCAGAGCTGAAATAATCCCAAAGGTGTAAATTAATTGCCTAGAATCACAAATTAGCTAAAGAATTCTTCAGTATGTCACCTAGCATTCTGTTACCCACACATTAAATGATTTCATTATAAATGAGAATTTTTATTAAATATTACTTTATTCATTATATACAAATGTATAATTTATATATAATGTATAATAAATTTATAAGTATATAAATTTAAATTTATTTGATTAAATGTTATTTAATATTAAAAGTGCTTTTAAATGCATTACATGCACTTAGAAATTCTTGGAATTCTGCTGAGCTCTACATTTTTTTGTCCATTATATCTTTAGGAGATTCTAAAATAAGAAATGATGCTGGTGCTTTAAACTCTATTTAGAGAAAACATTTTCCTCCTTTCAGAGTACCTTGAAATTGGATTGTAGATAGTTTTGCCACACAAAGAGGAGCCCCTTAAAAATGTTTACTGGATCTTCCCTGGTACCACAATAGTTAGGATGTAGCACTGCAAGTTAGGTGCAACAGCTTCAGTGCAAGTTCGATCCCTGGTCCTGGAGATGAACCACATGGCACAGCAGACCTCTCCTGTCTCGCCCACTGCTCCCATCAGCAGTGTACTTTGTCAGTCTGCCTATATTCTTTCACTCTCTGTCTCTGGTGAATCCTCTCACCACTCCAGCATCTCTGGCCTGTACTCCAATTCTGTATGCATGTATAAATAAATCTTTTTTAAAAAAATAATGTTTACTGAAATATAAACTAAATATCATAAAGTACACATATTTTAACTGTTAATATGATAAGTTTTAACAATTGTATACCCCTCGTAACCATCACTACAAGAAGTAATCTTGAACATTTAAATCATATTAATGGTTCTCGTGTGTGTGTGTGTGTGTGTGTGTGTGTGTATGTATGTGTGTGTCTGTCTGTCTGTCTGTCTGTCTGTCTCAGGCAATTCCTAATCCCCATGCCTGGCCTTATTCAACCATTGGCCTGCCTTCTCACTTTCAGTTAGATTTGTGTTCTTCAGAATTCCATAGAAATGTATTACCTTTAAATCCTACTATTAAAATCCTTTTCTCCCTGAAAAGAAAAGTTGGATATCACTGTAAAATCTTCCCTGACTTGTTCTGATTCTTCTCTTTTCTGCTTTGTCCATTAGGTCTTTCTTTCTATACAGGTTTATGTCACTAAACTGTATGTTCCTTCATGGCAAGGACATATTTGATTCATCTTTTTTCAAGACTTACCCCAGAACCTGGAATATTTTGTATCTACACAACAAACAGCACAGCAAACAAAATATCTTATATTGGTTCTTATAGTTAACACTAAAGTATAATCTGTCATGATATTTTAACATTTGATAAATTTAAGAAATAAAGCTTTAAATAAAAGTTTAGGATGAAGAAATTCAGAAACTTTCTTTACTAATCACTTTTAGTGTTAATTTTCTCTGATAACTGCAAGGCAAATATTATATGAAGTATGTTTCTACTGTGACTTCCTAATATTTCATTTTGTTTGGGATAAACTTGGCAAGTTGTTTAAAATTTGAATTTGTAAAAAAGTAAGCTCTCTGTAGGCAGTATACTTACAAAACTCAGTAAGTTTTTTGTTTTTATTTACCCTCATTAATGACTTAAAAACATTAAAAGCAAAAATAATATAGAAATGGGCCCTCCTTGGTGGCACAGCAAGCTAAAGCACAGCACTGAGAAGCTAAAAGCCACTTCAGCATGAGTACAATCCCCTGCCCCAGAGGTGACCCATATAGCACAGCATACCTCTTCTGATCCCCCCCGCTGCTCCCCTCAGCAGTGTATTTTGCCTGTTCTTCTCCCTGCTCTGTCTCTGGGGAATCCTCTTACTACCCCACCTCTGGCCTGTACCCTAGTTCTGTATGCATAAATAAATCATCTTTTTAAAATTGTATCTTTAATTAAAAAAAAGTAAGAGTATTAAAGATAGACCAACATTCATTTTATGTCAAGTTGCCATGAGACTTTATATATTTAACATTGCAGAAAGGTAAGCAAAATTGTATCTCTTAGATTAGATCTAACAAGAAGATTCAAGGATTTGATACATTGCTTTCACTTCTTTAAATATGTGGATAAAGAGAAGTGTTTGGCCAATTCCTGTGGTCTTGGGGGTATATAAAGGATAAATAACTTGGGAAAATGGAACAGAATTGAGATTTGTACTGTATAAATGATTTTATGTAAGTAGTTAGGAAACCAGCTTTTAGGTAACCTCTGCAATAATTAGTTCTATTTTAAGCTTTATTTTTTATTTGTAAAATAGAGTTTAAGCAGATGAACATCAAGACCTCTAACTATAAAATTCTCTGTATTGTTGCTTTTAATAATGTCAATATCAGATTACCTAGTGATATTTGCAAAATATTTCTTCATTTATTCTAAAGACAATGAATTTTTTTATGTTCTTTCTCTTAGGAATGTATCTCTCCCAAGATAAACTAAGCTCCCCTTTTACCTTCTGTATACTTCATTAAGAATTGTTATTACTAATATGGAAATTACAGAGGTGGTCTTAGATGAGGTGGATTGATCTTACAAAACAATTACTGAATTTTTGTAATGCTTGAGTTAAACCCAAGATTCCAAAAGGATGTATTTGAACTTTTGTGAATAAGGATATTTCTCATTATAGATATAATTAATAATTTATATTACATAATCTTCTGTTTTAAGTTTATTACTTGTACCTTGTGCCATTTCCACCATCTCAGAAATACAAATTTATGCTGATTTTTGCCTCTTGATGTAGTGAATATTTTCTTCAGTATCTAAAATACCCAAAAGAGAAATAATTGATTTAGTATACCATTTAACTATTATGGGATTTTTTTTTTCACTTAACCTTGGAAATCTTCTGAACTCCTATGGTATACCTATATTTAGTTTTCTTAATGACTAAAGTGGAGCATTATGAAGTCTATCTTAAAATATAATTTTCTTTTTTGTTAGCCTATCCACCTAAATGAAACAGAAATTACAGTAGAATTTTATATGTGGTGAAATGTAAGTGTAAAACTTTAACCTGGTTTGTTACATAGTTTTTGTATGTTGCTTATTTCTGATTGAATTTCTCATTTTGAGATAAGTACATTTTGTTTTAGTTGTGAGCTTTTTAAGCAAAGGATTGCCATTAAACTGATCATTAATTAGCAAGCCATTTTTAGCACCCCAAATTTTTTCCTCATCCTTTAAATCATGAAATTAATGATTCATATATTCCTAAACTGATGATATACTTTAAAAACTTACCACAGGAAGGTTGATCTATTTTGCTATTCGATTCTGTGAATTTACTGTATATATTATTTTGTTTATCCACCATTGCGATCAAAAATAGTAACAGTCTTAGGCTCTCCCTGGTGGCGCAGTGGGTTAGGACACAGCACTGCAAGCTGGCCACTGCAGCTTCAGTGCGAGTTCGATCCCTCGCCCCAGAGGTGACCCACATGGCATGGTAGACCTCTCCTGACCGGCCCGCTGCTCCCCTTAGAGGTGTGCTTCATCGATATGCCTGTTCTGCTCCCCACTCTGTCTCTGGTGAAGCATCTCACTGCCCCTGCACCTCTGGCTTGCACCCCAGTTCTGTATGAATAAATAAATCTTAAAAAAAAAAAAAACAGTAACAGCCTTACTCCTTTATGTTGTTATATCCTCTCCCCCCTCCATAACGATGGCCATCAGTCTGGTCTCTGTTTCTATAGTTTGTTTTCCTAAATATCATATCAGTAGAATCATGAAGTATGTAGTCTTTTGAGACTGACTTCTTTCATTCAACATATTGCTTTGAGATTCATCCAATTTGTCGTATTTATCTGTAGGTCATTCTTTTTTGTATTGAGTTTAGTTACTATTGCATAAATGTACCCAGTTTATCTGTTTACCAAAAACATTAGGGGTTCTTTTTTCCCCAGTTTTTGGCA